GTGAATATATGCCCTGTAGGAGAGTTAGACGAGAAAGAGTGCCAGATACCAGAATCCAGAGCAGGTCTGTGAAGAACATCACACAGCCAGGGAGAGACAGAATGAATCCACCGGATGGAGAGACAGAGGTCTTAAGGTAAAGTGTGATCTATGATGGTATTGTTCTATGCCTGAATTACATCACAATTGCCAGTGTAGAGTAGGGCTTATCTTTGGTGAATTTCATATTTTGTTCTCAATAAACTCATGTTAAATTTTCCATCTGTGCCAATTGTTGGATCCTCTCACCTGCGGTGTATAGTTTTGTTAACAACCGACCCGTAATAAATGACAGTTAAAGAAAGAGGACTCTCCAAGTCAAGCAATGTTTCTTGCTTCATTGTTTGAGATACCTAATGTACAATGCAGGATGGTGGCAGTGTTAGTTAATTTAATAAGCTCCCCTTGGTTCCCTGTGGAGTTCAGTACCCTTGAAGGGTACCCTTGGTTCTCTGTGGAGTTCAGTACCCTTGAAGGGTACCCTTGGTTCTCTGTGGAGTTCAGTACCCTTGAAGGGTACCCTTGGTTCCCTGTGGAGTTCAGTACCCTTGAAGGGTACCTTTGGTTCCCTGTGGAGTTCAGTACCCTTGAAGGGTACCCTTGGTTCCCGGCGGAGTTCAGTACCCTTGAAGGGTACCCTTGGTTCCCTGTGGAGTTCAGTACCCTTGAAGGGTACCCTTGGTTCCCGGCGGAGTTCAGTACCCTTGAAGGGTACCTTTGGTTCCCTGTGGAGTTCAGTACCCTTGAAGGGTACCCTTGGTTCCCGGCGGAGTTCAGTACCCTTGAAGGGTACCCTTGGTTCCCTGTGGAGTTCAGTACCCTTGAAGGGTACCCTTGGTTTCCGGTGGAGTTCAGTACCCTTGAAGGGTACCTTTGGTTCCCACTGGAGTTCAGTACCCTTGAAGGGTACCCTTGGTTCCCTGTGGAGTTCAGTACCCTTGATGTAACACTGTAAAAGTGTTTGGTTTAGTTTATTTAAAATATAGATAGTACATGAGTCACAGACAGGGATTTGGAAGGGCGCCAGGTTGTCGGCCTGAGATCTCACACCTCAAAGCGTTAATAACCCCAAGTGACCTGAGGTCAGATCATGCGAATTTCACCTTACTTCTACTAATCTCATAATTGGAGCCTGGTAGGCTTCAAACATGCCGACGTTTAAGGAGTGGCTTGGTAGAGTGCCGGAGGCTATCTACTTGTGGGCGGAGTTAGCTACTAGGTTCCCCCAATATATACTCGGAGAGCGATCGATTCGAGAGCATTAGCATTAACAGACAGAACGGCAGTCAGCAGAGCAGAGAAGACGTCCCTAGCAGGGAGGCTGTCGGCCGGCAGGGCGAGACAGTCTCTGTCAAGCTACAGACCCCCCCCCCCTCTATCCAGCTATAGGCAGAGACACTTGGTGAGTTGAGCAGTAAGGTGACTTGGTCGTGTTTTACAAGTGTTGTGTGATGATCAGGGGCAGTCAGTTGTAGTGTTCTCAGATTCTTGGAGGATGACTCACTTTGAATATTAATCTTTAACATTTTAATTGGATTGCTTAAGTTATGATATTTATCATGAAAAATATAATTGTTGAATTTATTATTTAAATGGTCTTTCACTGTGTTCCTAGAAATTTTGAGTTGAGGTGAGAAAGCCTCTGTGATTACTGGTTTCATGGTTTAGAAGGAGTACAGGATAGAGATGGGACATATCAATAATGACCTTGATAACATCTTTTGAGAATTTTGTGATACAGACAAGTTCCATTCCTTGTCTTGTATGTAATGATCATGAATGGATGGTGGCAGCATTTCGTCTTCTACTATCTACATTTCTACTCTTCTACTACTACCTATCTATTCCTCTCCCTCCACCCCTCTCCGAACTTTCCCTTTCAGCTAATGACCCTCCTCGCTTCTCCCACCTCTCTCCCTCTCTCACCCCAAACCCTCACTAATTACTTCACTATTCATTTCTTTCCTCTCGTTTTCTCTTATACGTTTGTGGCAATGATTCTGTATTCTAGAGTTCTCTCTAGAGTTTCGGGTAACTGATCAAGTTACGGCGCCTTGTAGTCTTAGCCCCTAGGTAGTCAAATACCTAGGTTACAAGGTGTTGAACGAGAGAGGTTGCCGTAGGAACTCTGGAGGTGCTCTAGAATAGTTAGCTAACTGAGGACGGGATAACGGACTAGAGAGAGCTGTTTCCCCCAGCCTCGTTAGTTAACCGGGGGGTGGAATAATGGACAAGATAGAGCTATTTCCCCCACCCTCCGTTACATTGAAGGGTACCCTTGGTTCCCTGTAAAGTTCAGTACCCTTGAAGGGTACCCTTGGTTCCCTGTGGAGTTCAGTACCCTTGAAGGGTACCCTTGGTTCCCTGTGGAGTTCAGTACCCTTGAAGGGTACCCTTGGTTCCCTGTGGAGTTCAGTACCCTTGAAGGGTACCCTTGGTTCCTTGTGGAGTTCAGTACCCTTGAAGGGTACCCTTGGTTCCCTGTGGAGTTCAGTACCCTTGAAGAGTACCCTTGGTTTCCTGTGGAGTTCAGTACCCTTGAAGGGTACCCTTGGTTCCCTGTGGAGTTCAGTACCCTTGAAGGGTACCCTTGGTACCCTGTGGAGTTCAGTACCCTTGAAGGGTACCCTTGGTACCCTGTGGAGCTCAGTACCCTTGAAGGGTACCCTTGGTTCCATCAGGGGGCACACCATATGTCCGTTCATATTATTTTAAATATAAATATAAGTGTTTATTAAGAAAGTGTTACCAAGTGCAACCAGTAGGAAGTGTTTCTCAGTATATATTAGTATTCATCCATCAGCCTACTCTCCCTATTCCCTTCTCCACTCCCTTCTCTCCTCCTGCTCTTTCCTACTCCTCCTCACTATCCCCCTCTTCTCCTCCTCCTACCTCCCCTCTTCCCGTGCGCCCCCTCGTTTTCTGTTACCCCACAGACGAGCTCTCTCTCCCCGTCCACGTTTTCTAAATCTGTCCACCTCCCCTCTCTTCTTCTTTATTCCTTCCTCCCTTCCTTCTGCTTTACTTCTCACCATCAAATGTAGGGATAGATTGAATTTATTGTTACATAAGGTCTTTCGTGTTTGTGTGTGTGTGTGTGTGTGTGTTGTGTTTGTGTGTGTGGGTGTTGTGTGGTGTGTGTGCGAAGTGTGTGTGTGGGTGTGTGTGTGTTGTGTGTGGTGTGTGTGTGTGTGGGTGTGTGTGTGTTGTGGTTGTGTGTGTGTTTGTGTGTGTGTGTTTGTGTGTGTGTGTGTGTGGTTGTGTGTGTGGTGTGTGTGTGTGTGTGTGTGTGTGTGCGCGTGTATTCACCTACTAGTGCTTGCAGGTTCGAGCCTGCTCTTAAGCCCTGCCTTTTCGACCACCATTACTTCAATCCAGTGACTTGTTTCACTGTTTCTTATATTAACATTTATGGCTGCGTGTCGAATTGACTGGAACTTCCTTAGAGTCAGTCACACAGGATATTTGGTGTCGCCAGACTGTCTCTCTTAGCAGTTAAAATGTCACAAAGAAGTTAACGACCACAAGTTGACCTGGAGTCAGGTCGTGTCATGTGACCTTGCTTTTAAGCCGACAATTGTAGCCCGGTACCTGGGTGTGACCTTCAAACAACCCGCTGTTTAAGGCATGTGAGGTAGATGGCCTGAGGCTATCGACTTAGTAGGCGGAGCTTAGCTCCCGGATACCCCATAAATATCGATGGAACTGTATACAGAGAGAGAAAGGATTAAAGATTGAGCAGCAGTGAGAGTTAGATCACTTGTCAAGAGGGTCCAGCTGCCACACTGGCCTCCTCAGGCCCGATGGCGGTCTGGGGACGCCCCACACCGCCTCCTCTCTCTCCATCTTAGTTTCTGAGAATTTGGTGAGTTGAACTTTAAGGTGACATATTTGGGGTATTTCCAGCTGAATGTGTTGTGTGATTTACAGTGGCAGTCAACCGCAGTGTCCTTAATGTCTTGTGTGGTGACTCACCTTGTGTATTATTCTTGACATAGTGAACATAATTTTAATTCTATGCAATTAATTTTAATTTAACATAATTAATTTTGTTCTATAAAACTTTATTTTGAAAACTAGAGTGTAGAGCTGTCTGAGCTTACTGACTTTAAGATTCTTGCATGTACAAGTACATGATTCTAGTTGATACATGATAACATTTGATAACAGTTTAAGGTACAGACAAGTTCCATTGTCTTATAGTTAACTAACTTGAATGGCTGGCGGCAGCAACTTTCATCCTTCAACATTTCTATCTTTCTAGTATTCTAGCACTTGTACTTTCTGCTCTTCTAATTCCTCTTTGATCTCAGTCTCTCCCTCTCATTCTAAACTGTCCCTCTTCCCTGACCACTCCTTCCTCACACCTCTCATACCTCCCTCACACCTCCCTCACACCTCCCTCACACCTCTCTCACACCTCCCTCACACCTCCCTCACACCTCTCACACCTCCCTCACACCTCCCTCACACCTCTCACACCTCTCACACCTCTCACACCTCCCTCACACCTCCCTCACACCTCTCACACCTCCCTCACACCTCCCTCACACCTCCCTCACACCTCTCACACCTCCCTCACACCTCTCACACCTCCCTCACACCTCCCTCACCCTCTCACCCCTTTCACACCTCTCTACCTCTCTCACCCCTCCCTCACACCTCCCTCACCCCTCCCTCACCCCCTCCCTCACCCCTCCCTCACACCTCCCTCACACCTTCCTCTCACACCTCCCTCTCACACCTCCCTCTCACACCTCCCTCTCACACCTCCCTCTCACACCTCCCTCTCACACCTCCCTCTCACACCTCCCTCTCACACCTCCCTCTCACACCTCCCTCTCACACCTCCCTCACACCTCCCTTACACCTCCCTTACACCTCCCTCACACCTCTCACACCTCCCTCTCACACCTCCCTCACACCTCCCTTACACCTCCCTTACACCTCCCTCACACCTCTCATACCTCCCTCACTCCCTGCTTTCACCTAATTTTTCCTTTCTTTCCATATTCAATTCCGATACGTTTCTACACAATATAACCCCTAATCTAACTTAACCTCTGTTAGTAATCCTAGGCTTAATTTACACTATCTTAGGCCTATTATAATACATATATGTGCTATACTAGGCCTTAGAATACTTAAGTACAGAAAAAAAAGTTGATGAGGCTATGACTAATTGGGTTCCACTGAGGGAACTACTGACCGAGAATATCCTGCTGAGGAAGCCACGTGTTGAGCATCACGTTGTCGGGAACGTTCTCTATTACACCTTCGTATTTCCAGAGGACGCGCTGCGGCAGCCTGCGGAAGGCCTGGACGAAGAGGTCACGGTACTGGACTGGCATGTGGGTGCCTTGCGTTATGGAGCCCAAACTGAAGTAGATGACGCCAGCAGGTCCCGCCCCTGTGATCCATGTCTCCAGCTCCTGTGTGACACAGCATACTAAGCAAGCTTTTGGCCAACCTCCCCCCTCCCCCGCACCATCCATTCCATCATGCACACACACACACACACACACCACACACACACACACACACACACACACACACACACACACACACACACACACACACACACACACACACACACACACACACACACACACACACACACACACACACACACACACACACACACACACACACACACACACACACACACACACACACACACACACACACACACACACACACACACACACACACACACACACACACACACACACACACACACACACACACACACACACACACACACACACACACACACACACACACACACACACACACACACACACACACACACACACACACACACACACACACACAAACACTCACACACACACACACACACACACACACACACACACAAGAAACACATAAGGAAACTAGAAAAGGTTAAGATGTTTGCAACGAGACTCGTCCCAGCGTTACGAGGGATGGGGTATGAAGAGCGCCTGAAGGAACTGAGCCTTACGACTCTAGGAAAGAGAAAGGAGAGACGGGATATGATCGGAACGTACACAATACTCAGGGGAATTGACAGAGTTGACATACCGGAAATGTTCACACGAATAGTAACTGAACAAGGGGACATGCTGGAAACTGTGATGAGTCACAGACATGTTAGGAAGCTTTAGCATGAGAGAAGTGGAAAAATCGAATTCACTTAAGGAAGGCCATTTTGATTTAGCAGACGACGCCCTCACACCCCACGGTGGGAAGAGAGAGCTTTTGCTTTGCTGTGCTTAACTATGGTGTTGAGAGGGATATAAATAGGTTCTAGTTGATACACAGTGACCTTCATAACCAGTATATATAATGAGGAAGGACTGAAATGAGAGTGCTGGATTTTAAAGTGTTTTTGGCAGAGAGAGGCGACAGGTGTGCCCTCCGTGACGGTCAGGAGGCGACAGGTGTGCCCTCCGTGACGGCCAGGAGGCGACAGGTGTGCCCTCCGTGACGGCCAGGAGGCGACAGGTGTGCCCTCCGTGACGGCCAAGAGGCGACAGGTGTGCCCTCCATGACGGCCAAGAGGCGACAGGTGTGCCCTCCATGACGACCAAGAGGCGACAGGTGTGCCCTCCATGACGGCCAAGAGGCGACAGGTGTGCCCTCCATGACGACCAAGAGGCGACAGGTGTGCCCTCCATGACGGCCAAGAGGCGACAGGTGTGCCCTCCATGACGGCCAAGAGGCGACAGGTGTGTCCTCCATGACGGCCAAGAGGCGACAGGTGTGCCCTCCATGACGACCAAGAGGCGACAGGTGTGCCCTCCATGACGGCCAAGAGGCGACAGGTGTGCCCTCCATGACGACCAAGAGGCGACAGGTGTGCCCTCCATGACGGCCAAGAGGCGACAGGTGTGTCCTCCATGACGGCCAAGAGGCGACAGGTGTGCCCTCCATGACGACCAAGAGGCGACAGGTGTGCCCTCCATGACGGCCAAGAGGCGACAGGTGTGTCCTCCATGACGGCCAAGAGGCGACAGGTGTGCCCTCCATGACGACCAAGAGGCGACAGGTGTGCCCTCCATGACGACCAGGAGGCGACAGGTGTGCCCTCCATGACGGCCAAGAGGCGACAGGTGTGCCCTCCATGACGGCCAAGAGGCGACAGGTGTGCCCTCCATGACGACCAAGAGGCGACAGGTGTGCCCTCCATGACGACCAAGAGGCGACAGGTGTGCCCTCCATGACGGCCAAGAGGCGACAGGTGTGCCCTCCATGACGGGCAAGAGGCGACAGGTGTGCCCTCCGTGACGGCCAGGAGGCGACAGGTGTGCCCTCCATGACGACCAAGAGGCGACAGGTGTGCCCTCCGTGACGGCCAGGAGGCGACAGGTGTGCCCTCCATGACGACCAAGAGGCGACAGGTGTGCCCTCCATGACGGGCAAGAGGCGACAGGTGTGTCCTCCATGACGGCCAGGAGGCGACAGGTGTGCCCTCCGTGACGACCAAGAGGCGACAGGTGTGCCCTCCATGACGGGCAAGAGGCGACAGGTGTGCCCTCCATGACGACCAAGAGGCGACAGGTGTGCCCACCATGACGGCCAGGAGGCGACAGGTGTGCCCTCCATGACGGCCAAGAGGCGACAGGTGTGCCCTCCATGACGACCAAGAGGCGACAGGTGTGCCCTCCATGACGACCAAGAGGCGACAGGTGTGCCCTCCATGACGACCAAGAGGCGACAGGTGTGCCCTCCATGACGGCCAAGAGGCATATTACAGATCAGAACCCGCCCAGGGGTGGAGGCGGGGGGGGGGGGGATCAGTTGCCAGCGACAGAGACAGGGGAGGAGAGTGACAGATGAGGTTTGTAGTATCCTCCAAGGAGGACTTGAAAAAGATGCATAGATGGTTGGAGACATTGCTACTGGCGTTCAATACGAGCAAGTTTAAAGTGATGGAAATGGGAACAGGTGACAGGAGACCAAAGGGACAATACTCAGTGATGGGGAAAATAGTGTGACGACTGGAGAAAGAGACCTGGGAGTGGAGGCAACACCAAATATAACTCCAGAGCCACACACCAATACCATAAAGTTAGCAGCATAGTGTATGCTAAGACAATTAGATTCCGCACCACCACAGGCTGGCATCTAGGAGTATGCCCGACCATCATGCAGCCCCCACCTGAAAAAAAAGGAAACTGGAAAAGGTTCTAAAGTTTGCAAAGAGGTTCGTCTCATAATTGCTAGGGATGGGGTATGAAGAGCGACTGAAAGAACTGAACCTGCAAACGCTAGACAAAAGGAGAGAGAGGGGAGACATGATAAAGACGTACAAAATACATACAGGAATTGACAGAGTGGAAATAAATGAAATATTTACACAGAATATTAATAAAACAAGGGGGCATGAGTGGAAGTAGGAAACTCAGATGAGTCAGAGTTGTTAGAAAGTTTTCATTTTGCATAATGGTAGGAAAATGGGACGAACTAAAGGAGCACGTTGTGAAAGCAAAATGTATTGATCATTCTAAAGGTAGACATGACGGGGAGGAACAGGAGTCACTGCTTTAAACTATCAACGGTTAGAAAGGCGGGGTCACAGAGCTAAGGTTCGATCCTTCAGGCACAAAGATGTAAGTGTCCCACAAGCAAACGTTAAGCTAACATCACAACAGCTTTACAGACCTCATTAAGGTGGACTCCCACACACTGTAGACCATAAATGCCCAAACGTTTTAGTACTTTCCCTTCTACTCTATTTTGTACCTTCAGTAGCGTTACTGTGAACTATTTTGTACCTTCAGTAGCGTCACTGTGAACTATATTGTACCTTCAGTAGCGTTACTGTGAACTATATTGTACCTTCAGTAGCGTTACTGTGAACTATTTTGTACCTTCAGTAGCGTTACTGTGAACTATATTGTACCTTCAGTAGCGTTACTGTGAACTATATTGTACCTTCAGTAGCGTTACTGTGAACTATTTTGTACCTTCAGTAGCGTTACTGTGAACTATATTGTACCTTCAGTAGCGTTACTGTGAACTATATTGTACCTTCAGTAGCGTTACTGTGAACTATATTGTACCTTCAGTAGCGTTACTGTGAACTATATTGTACCTTCAGTAGCGTTACTGTGAACTATATTGTACCTTCAGTAGCGTTACTGTGAACTATTTTGTACCTTCAGTAGCGTTACTGTGAACTATTTTGTACCTTCAGTAGCGTTACTGTGAACTATATTGTACCTTCAGTAGCGTTACTGTGAACTATATTGTACCTTCAGTAGCGTTACTGTGAACTATTTTGTACCTTCAGTAGCGTTACTGTGAACTATTTTGTACCTTCAGTAGCGTTACTGTGAACTATATTGTACCTTCAGTAGCGTTACTGTGAACTATATTGTACCTTCAGTAGCGTTACTGTGAACTATATTGTACCTTCAGTAGCGTTACTGTGAACTATATTGTACCTTCAGTAGCGTTACTGTGAACTATTTTGTACCTTCAGTAGCGTTACTGTGAACTATTTTGTACCTTCAGTAGCGTTACTGTGAACTATTTTGTACCTTCAGTAGCGTTACTGTGAACTATTTTGTACCTTCAGTAGCGTTACTGTGAACTATTTTGTACCTTCAGTAGCGTTACTGTGAACTATTTTGTACCTTCAGTAGCGTTACTGTGAACTATTTTGTACCTTCAGTAGCGTTACTGTGAACTATTTTGTACCTTCAGTAGCGTTACTGTGAACTATATTGTACCTTCAGTGGCGTTACTGTGAACTATTTTGTACCTTCAGTAGCGTTACTGTGAACTATTTTTAAGCCGGAATGTAGTGTTTAATTCCGAACTTCCAGAGACTAGTCCACAGTCATCCATAATTAAACCCATCTTCCAGCCCAAGCTATAAGTCAAATATTGACTTAGTGCAGATTTGTTTGACTTATTCAGAAGACAACCAACTGACAGAATCTTCCATACTGTATGGATGATTCAACATTTAAAATAAAAAAAATTCACCAAAATGTAAATTAATACTATTACTCATTGTGGGTTTATGTATAGCCTGACCGTATCTAACTTTACCTAAAGTCTAGTTTAGGTTAGGTAAGGTTAGGTTAGGTTGCTTTAGGGAGTGTTTACACTACTGAGGGTGAACGACGCACGTTCCCAGTCATATCCTCGAACATGGCTTGCTGAACTATAAGTCAAAATACTGACTTATGTAGACTTTTTGTAGTCAATATTTAACCTTTATGTTGTGAACCTCACAGCACATTGTTATGATGATTGGCTGGCATGATTTCTAGCAGGATTCGAACCTGGAACACGAAGAAAAACAGATAGAAATTCTAACCGCTGCACTACAGATATTTTGTCTTCTATCTACAATAAAAATAGATATTTACGATAACAATTCATGCGACCCATTAAGGAATATATTAATAAAAGGATATTTATGAGAGCATCAGTAATATAGTACTTACACCTTTATTCAAAATCCGATACACTAAACTCTCAAAGTCTAAAAGTTATTTAACTTGTACAAATTAAAATAATCTAAAATCGAAGGTGACGATGGAATTGTATATAAAGTCGCAAAGGAACTGTAGGAAGAAAGTGTTCATGGCGTAGTGGTAACGCACTCGCTACCCACTTCACAAGCGATTTGGCCCCAGGTTCATATCCTAGCCAGGGAGGATTGACGTGGCGCCAACCATTAAATGTTCGCCTCTGTTCAGCCAACAGTGATTGGGTACCTGGATGTTAAACGATTGCCAGTTCGTATTCCAGGGGAAACAAGCGAGTAATGCTTACCGAGCATGCTTACCAATGCATCCCGAGCCATGGGATGCGGACGCTCTCAGCCTGCCAAGTAAGATGCTGGGAATGCAACCATTAGCTTTTTATCAACTGAACACAATGCCGAACAGAAATTTCCCTCTATAACCAAAATTCTTAGAATGATGTCTTAAATTTTGGCTTCAGCTCAATGTGACGTCCAAACTACACAATACAAAACGACGACGTTTCGGTCCGTCGTGGACCTATAGCATGAGGGCTGGTCAACTCACCTGGGACAGAGGGCTGGTGGGTCGACAGTGTATGCCGCCCACCTCCACCTGTGAGGGCTGGTCAACTCACCTGGGGCAGAGGGCTGGTGGGTCGACAGTGCATGCCGCCCACCTCCACCTGTGAGGGCTGGTCAACTCACCTGGGGCAGAGGGCTGGTGGGTCGACAGTGCATGCCGCCCACCTCCACCTGTGAGGGCAGGACAACTCACCTGGGGCAGAGGGCTGGTGGGTCGACAGTGCATGCCGCCCACCTCCACCTGTGAGGGCAGGACAACTCACCTGGGGCAGAGGGCTGGCGGGTCGACAGTGCATGCCGCCCACCTCCACCTGTGAGGGCTGGACAACTCACCTGGGGCAGAGGGCTGGCGGGTCGACAGTGCATGCCGCCCACCTCCACCTGTGAGGGCAGGACAACTCACCTCGGGCAGAGGGCTGGCGGGTCGACAGTGCATGCCGCCCACCTCCACCTGTGAGGGCAGGACAACTCACCTGGGGCAGAGGGCTGGCGGGTCGACAGTGCATGCCGCCCACCTCCACCTGTGAGGGCAGGACAACTCACCTGGGGCAGAGGGCTGGCGGGTCGACAGTGCATGCCGCCCACCTCCACCTGTGAGGGCAGGACAACTCACCTGGGGCAGAGGGCTGGCGGGTCGACAGTGCATGCCGCCCACCTCCACCTGTGAGGGCAGGAGGGGCAGTGGTATACCAATACTAAAGTGCCTGTTGTTCAGCGCCAGACTCATGTTTCTCTCCAGGTCCAACAGCGGCGGCAGCTCTGGGAACTGCGCAGAGATCTGAGGAATAACACCAGACCTTTACTGCATGCTGCTCCGACACATTCACAAGGAACTGGGAACATCAATGACGCATATTGACCCCAGTCACTGTACCATGCACTGCAATACAAATATAATTCTGACCATGATGAGTTATTGTGACTCATCGTCTGCATAATCTTCTATATAAATAAAAATGGAAATGTTTGTTTGTACAAAATCACTAAACTCCGAAAGTTCTTCACCGATTGCTTTGAAATTTTCACACAATGTTCCATTCGCATCCGAGCGGGTTTTTATATACATACTATATTGATGTAACGTCTGTGACGGAAAAGAACATGCTTTAAAAAAAACTTTTTTTCATGTGTTTTTCATGTGAGAGAAATTTTCGAAACCTGTTTACCGATTGCTTTGAAATTTTGACACAACGTTGCATTTGAATAGGCGCGTGTTTTTACATACCTACTATATTCATGCCTCACCTGTGACAGGTAAAAACATTTAAAAAAAGTGCCATCTGTTGCACATAATCTGCAACATCTGTACACACGATGTACTAAATGTTATGAATTCCATTTCAATATTTCCAATTCCACTGATAAACTGAATTTTCATAGATTTCGATTTATTTTAATTTTGATTTAATTATTTTGTGTGACATTGTGTTGGAATTGAGATGTATTGTTTACCACACATTTGGTAATTTATGGTAAATAACTCATACACACCCACTCATTTTGTGAGTATAGTTTATTTTTTATTTTTTATTTTTTTCATCTCGTTTTTTAATTGTTTTTCCTATATTTCAGTGATGGGAACATCAGATCATTTGATGTTCCCAATTTTCTGATAAGAACATCAGGTCATTTGGGAAGGCATTGGACGAGGGAGTGGGGAATGGTGGGGAGGACGAGGGGACGGGGGTGATGGGGAAGGTGGGGACGAGAGGATAGGGGAATGGAGAATGGTGGGGGAGGACAAGGGAACACGAGAGTGGGGGATAGTGAGGAGGAAAAGGGGACAGGGGAGGAGGGGAATGGTAGGGAGGGCGGGGGGGACAGTGGAGTGGGAAATGGTTAGGAGGACGAGGGGACGGCGAAGTGGGGAATAGATGGGGGAATGAAGGGACAGGGGAGTGAGGAATGGTTGGGAGGATGAGGGGACGGTGGAGGAGGAATGGTGGGGAGGACAGAGAGACAGGGGGAAGGTTGCTGAGCCACAGCAATGCACATGTCTTGCTGAGCCACAGCAACGCACATGTCTTGCTGAGCCACAGCAACGCACATGTCTTGCTGAGCCACAGCAACGCACATGTCTTGCTGAGCCACAGCAACGCACATGTCTTGCTGAGCCACAGCAACGCACATGTCTTGCTGAGCCACAGCAACGCACATGTCTTGCTGAGCCACAGCAACGCGTTGGCGGGTACAGCTAGTTCTAAATATCTATATCAATAAAAATGGAATTGTTCGTTTGTTCAAAATCGCTAATCTCCGAAAGTTCTTCACCGATTGTTGTGAAATTTTCACAAAATGTTCCATTGGCATCCGAGCGGGTTTTTATACAGATACTATATAGATGTTTCTCATGTGAGGGAAATCTTCGAAACCTCTTTACCGATTGCTTTGAAATTTTGACACAGCGTTGAATTTGAATAAGCGCGTGTTTTTATATATCTACTATATACATACCTCACCTGGGACAAAAATCATGCTTTTTTTTTAAAAAAGTGCTATCTGTTGGCCGTAAGAGCAACACACACACACTGTAATCTCCGTAAGTTCTTCACCAATTTGAATTTTTAAAGATTTTGATTTATTTACATTTTGATTTAATTATTTTGTGTGACATTGCAATGGAAATGAGCCGAGTTGTTTACAATACCGTTCATTTCGTGAGTATATATATTATATATATATTATATATATATTATATATATATATATATATATATATATATATATATATATATATATATATATATATATATATATATATATATATATATATATATATATATATATATATATATATATATATATATATATATATATATATATATATATATATATATATATTTATATAAATGCCACACTTGTGACAGGTAAAAACATGATTTTATTGAAAAACAGCTCCAGCTGTTGCCCGTAAGAGCAACACACGCTGTACTAATTATGTTATGATTCAATTTCAATCTTTTTGATTTCATTGATAAATTGAGTTTTCATAGATTTCGATTTATTTCATTTTGATTTAATTATTTTGTGTGACATTGGAGTGGAATTGAGCTGTGTTGTTTACCATACCGTTCATTTCGTGAGTTTAGTTTATTTTTTAATTTTTTCATTGTTTTTCATTTCGTTTTTTCAACTGTTTTTCTTATATTTCCATGATGGGAACATCAGATCATTTGGTGTTCCCAATTTTCTGATGGGAACAGCAGATGATTTGGGAATGCATTGGACGAGGGTGTGATGGATGGTGGGGAGGACGAGGGGATGGGAGAGGGTGGAATGGGAGGGAGGACGAAGGGATGGGAGAGAGGGAGATGGTGGGGAGGACGAGGGGATGGTGGAATGGGGAATGGTTAGGTGGACGAAAGGACGCTGGAATGGGGGATGGTGGGGAGGACAAAGGGATGGAGGGAGGGGTGAATGATGGGGAGGACTGGGAGACGGGAAGGTTGCTGTGGCTCAGCAGCACACATGTGTTGCTGAGCCACAGCAATGCGTGGCCGGCTACAGGTAGTATATAAATATAATGATTGATAATAATAATTTTAAGGGAAGGCTAATTAGCATTATATAACCAGACGGTGAAGTAATTATCAGGAAACAACGGAAAGGTACTACCACACCTCTTTCTGTATAAGGGGCACGACGGCCCAGGTCCGCCAGTAAATTGGCACTCCTGCATGAATCAGCGTGTTGAGGAAACGATACCAGGCGTTCATGGGTAGTGGAAAGGTGACTATTGGGCCGGGAGCGTAGGCCGGGTTGAGGACGTTGCCCATGACGGCGCTGTGGTGATGCTCCACGCCGGGCGTGGACAGGATGATGAAGGGAACCTCGTGAAGGAAGGGATACGCCGCCTGTGGGAGGTCAGTACACACTGAGGGAGGAAGTTGTAGTTGCCTTAACCCGGATAAAACATTTATCCGGGTTAAGCAGAGGTAAATTACACATCAGAGAGGTTTGAGCTGTTACAGTCGAGTTGCAATAGAATATTTATGGTTGTTCACCCATTGGATTATAAGCCCATGGAACCGCATATCCACAGAAACAATAAATGTAAAAGAACAGATGAATTTTATGATCCAGCTTGAAAAAATCATCAGGACAAATGTAGGGATCTTTGACAAGCCACCGGCTTCTCTTCCTCGCTGAGGCCAGTAGAGTGTTACTGACCCCTCAGGTAAATACAGGTAAATTCGACATACCTTCAAATGTAAACAACTGTCGAGGGTCTGCTGTGAACATTATATTAACCTCTTAAAATGATAATTTCGTGGAAAAATATAATATATGCAGACAATTTCGGGTTCGACAGCGACGAGGCGGAGGCGGCGGCACCCTGGAGGTTGGTCCGGAGGGATGAAGCTAACACCATCATCGCCAGGGAGCTTTAACCATTCCTCGAATTGGTGAGCCATATATGATGATAGTGATAATATGACTGTCACTCCCACGATGGTTGAAGACACAGTTTATCTCAACAGTCTGTGGGGTTGTCCACAGTCTGTGGTGCTGTCCGCAATCTGTGGTGTTGTCCGCAGTCTGTGGTGTTGTCCACAGTCTGTGGTGTTGTCCAGTCTGTGGTGTTGTCCACAGTCTGTGGTGTTGTCCACAGTCTGTGGTGCTGTCCAGTCTGTGGTGTTGTCCACAGTCTGTGGTGCTGTCCAGTCTGTGGTGCTGTCCACAGTCTGTGGTGTTGTCCAGTCTGTGGTGCTGTCCACAGTCTGTGGTGCTGTCCACAGTCTGTGGTGTTGTCCAGTCTGTGGTGTAGTCCACAGTCTGTGGTGTTGTCCAGTCTGTGGTGTAGTCCACAGTCTGTGGTGCTGTCCAGTCTGTGGTGTTGTCCACAGTCTGTGGTGCTGTCCAGTCTGTGGTGTTGTCCACAGTCTGTGGTGTTGTCCAGTCTGTGGTGCTGTCCACAGTCTGTGGTGTTGTCCAGTCTGTGGTGTAGTCCACAGTCTGTGGTGTTGTCCAGTCTGTGGTGTTGTCCACAGTCTGTGGTGTTGTCCAGTCTGTGGTGTTGTCCACAGTCTGTGGTGTTGTCCAGTCTGTGGTGCTGTCCACAGTCTGTGGTGTTGTCCACAGTCTGTGGTGTTGTCCACAGTCTGTGGTGTTGTCCAGTCTGTGGTGTTGTCCACAGTCTGTGGTGTTGTCCAGTCTGTGGTGTTGTCCACAGTCTGTGGTGTTGTCCAGTCTGTGGTGTTGTCCAGTCTGTGGTGTTGCCCAAAGTCTGTGGTGTTGTCCAGTCTGTGGTGTTGTCCACAGTCTGTGGTGTTGTCCACAGTCTGTGGTGTTGTCCACAGTCTGTGGTGTTGTCCACAGTCTGTGGTGTTGTCCACAGTCTGTGGTGTTGTCCAGTCTGTGGTGTTGTCCACAGTCTGTGGTGTTGTCCACAGTCTGTGGTGTTGTCCAGTCTGTGGTGTTGTCCACAGTCTGTGGTGTTGTCCAGTCTGTGGTGTTGTCCACAGTCTGTGGTGTTGTCCACAGTCTGTGGTGTTGTCCAGTCTGTGGTGTTGTCCAGTCTGTGGTGTTGTCCAGTCTGTGGTGTTGTCCAGTCTGTGGTGTTGTCCACAGTCTGTGGTGTTGTCCAGTCTGTGGTGTTGTCCAGTCTGTGGTGTTGTCCACAGTCTGTGGTGTTGTCCACAGTCTGTGGTGCTGTCCACAGTTTGTGGTGTTGTCCAGTCTGTGGTGTTGTCCAGTCTGTGGTGTTGTCCACAGTCTGTGGTGCTGTCCACAGTCTGTGGTGCTGTCCACAGTCTGTGGTGTTGTCCAGTCTGTGGTGTTGTCCACAGTCTGTGGTGTTGTCCAGTCTGTGGTGTTGTCCAGTCTGTGGTGTTGTCCACAGTCTGTGGTGTTGTCCAGTCTGTGGTGTTGTCCACAGTCTGTGGTGTTGTCCACAGTCTGTGGTGCTGTCCACAGTCTGTGGTGTTGTCCAGTCTGTGGTGTTGTCCACAGTCTGTGGTGTTGTCCAGTCTGTGGTGTTGTCCAGTCTGTGGTGTTGTCCACAGTCTGTGGTGTTGTCCAGTCTGTGGTGTTGTCCACAGTCTGTGGTGTTGTCCAGTCTGTAGTGTTGTCCAGTCTGTGGTGTTGTCCACAGTCTGTGGTGTTGTCCACATTCTGTGGTGCTGTCCACAGTCTGTGGTGTTGTCCAGTCTGTGGTGTTGTCCACAGTCTGTGGTGTTGTCCACAGTCTGTAGTGTTGACCACAGTCTGTGGTGTTGTCCACAGTCTGTGGTGTTGTCCACAGTCTGTGGTGTTGTCCACAGTCTGTGGTGCTGTCCAGTCTGTGGTGTTGTCCACAGTCTGTGGTGTTGTTCACAGTCTGTGGTGTTGTCCACAGTCTGTGGTGTTGTCCACAGTCTGTGGTGTTGTCCAGTCTGTGGTGTTGTCCACAGTCTGTGTTGTTGTCCACAGTCTGTGGTGTTGTCCAGTCTGTGGTGTTGTCCACAGTCTGTGGTGTTGTCCACAGTCTGTGGTGTTGTTCAGTCTGTGGTGTTGTCCACAGTCTGTGGTGTTGTCCAGTCTGTGGTGTTGTCCACAGTCTGTGGTGTTGTCCACAGTCTGTGGTGTTGTCCAGTCTGTGGTGTTGTCCAGTCTGTGGTGTTGTCCAGTCTGTGGTGTTGTCCAGTCTGTGGTGTTGTCCACAGTCTGTGGTGTTGTCCAGTCTGTGGTGTTGTCCAGTCTGTGGTGTTGTCCACAGTCTGTGGTGTTGTCCACAGTCTGTGGTGTTGTCCAGTCTGTGGTGTTGTCCACAGTCTGTGGTGCTGTCCAGTCTGTGGTGCTATCTACAGTCTGTGGTGTTGTCCAGTCTGTGGTGCTGTCCACAGTCTGTGGTGCTGTCCACAGTCTGTGGTGTTGTCCAGTCTGTGGTGTAGTCCACAGTCTGTGGTGTTGTCCAGTCTGTGGTGTAGTCCACAGTCTGTGGTGTTGTCCAGTCTGTGGTGTTGTCCACAGTCTGTGGTGTTGTCCAGTCTGTGGTGTTGTCCACAGTCTGTGGTGTTGTCCAGTCTGTGGTGCTGTCCACAGTCTGTGGTGTTGTCCACAGTCTGTGGTGTTGTCCACAGTCTGTGGTGTTGTCCAGTCTGTGGTGTTGTCCACAGTCTGTGGTGTTGTCCACAGTCTGTGGTGTTGTCCACAGTCTGTGGTGTTGTCCAGTCTGTGGTGTTGTCCACAGTCTGTGGTGTTGTCCAGTCTGTGGTGTTGTCCAGTCTGTGGTGTTGTCCACAGTCTGTGGTGTTGTCCAGTCTGTGGTGTTGTCCACAGTCTGTGGTGTTGTCCACAGTCTGTGGTGTTGTCCACAGTCTGTGGTGTTGTCCACAGTCTGTCCACAGTCTGTGGTGTTGTCCACAGTCTGTGGTGTTGTCCACAGTCTGTGGTGTTGTCCACAGTCTGTGGTGTTGTCCACAGTCTGTGGTGTTGTCCACAGTCTGTGGTGTTGTCCACAGTCTGTGGTGTTGTCCAGTCTGTGGTGTTGTCCAGTCTGTGGTGTTGTCCAGTCTGTGGTGTTGTCCAGTCTGTGGTGTTGTCACAGTCTGTGGTGTTGTCCACAGTCTGTGGTGTTGTCCAGTCTGTGGTGTTGTCCACAGTCTGTGGTGTTGTCCACAGTCTGTGGTGTTGTCACAGTCTGTGGTGTTGTCCAGTCTGTGGTGTTGTCCAGTCTGTGGTGTTGTCCAGTCTGTGGTGTTGTCCAGTCTGTGGTGTTGTCCACAGTCTGTGGTGTTGTCCAGTCTGTGGTGTTGTCCAGTCTGTGGTGTTGTCCACAGTCTGTGGTGTTGTCCAGTCTGTGGTGTTGTCCACAGTCTGTGGTGTTGTCCACAGTCTGTGGTGTTGTCCACAGTCTGTGGTGTTGTCCAGTCTGTGGTGTTGTCCAGTCTGTGGTGTTGTCCACAGTCTGTGGTGTTGTCCACAGTCTGTGGTGTTGTCCACAGTCTGTGGTGTTGTCCAGTCTGTGGTGTTGTCCACAGTCTGTGGTGTTGTCCACAGTCTGTGGTGTTGTCCAGTCTGTGGTGTTGTCCAGTCTGTGGTGTGTCCACAGTCTGTGGTGTTGTCCACAGTCTGTGGTGTTGTCCAGTCTGTGGTGTTGTCCACAGTCTGTGGTGTTGTCCACAGTCTGTGGTGTTGTCCACAGTCTGTGGTGTTGTCCACAGTCTGTGGTGTTGTCCAGTCTGTGGTGTTGTCCAGTCTGTGTCCACAGGTGGTTGTCCAGTCTGTGGTGTTGTCCACAGTCTGTGGTGTTGTCCACAGTCTGTGGTGTTGTCCAGTCTGTGGTGTTGTCCACAGTCTGTCCAGTCTGTGGTTGTCCACAGTCTGTGGTGTTGTCCAGTCTGTGGTGTTGTCCAGTCTGTGGTGTTGTCCACAGTCTGTGGTGTTGTCCAGTCTGTGGTGTTGTCCAGTCTGTGGTGTTGTCCACAGTCTGTGGTGTTGTCCACAGTCTGTGGTGTTGTCCACAGTCTGTGGTGTTGTCCAGTCTGTGGTGTTGTCCACAGTCTGTGTCCACAGTCTGTGGTGTGTCCACAGTCACAGTCTGTGGTGTTGTCCACAGTCTGTGGTGTTGTCCAGTCTGTGGTGTTGTCCACAGTCTGTGGTGTTGTCCAGTCTGTGGTGTTGTCCACAGTCTGTGGTGTTGTCCACAGTCTGTGGTGTGTCCAGTCTGTGGTGTTGTCCACAGTCTGTGGTGTTGTCCAGTCTGTGGTCTGTCCACAGTCTGTGGTGTTGTCCCAGTCTGTGGTGTTGTCCAGTCTGTGGTGTTGTCACAGTCTGTGGTGTTGTCCAGTCTGTCTGTGGTGTTGTGTCCCAGTCTGTGGTGTTGTCCACAGTCTGTGGTGTTGTCCACAGTCTGTGGTGTTGTCCAGTCTGT